ATTACTGAAATTAATATCTCCAAAAAACAAAAAAGAGATGACTCCGACGACGAATATTCTCGCCGCCGGCATAAACATCACAAGAAATCAACTAGTTCCAAGCAGCGCTCTTCCGCCTCTAAAGAACAAGAAGATTCTAGCTCAGATTCTCCTTTACCCTCTAAAAAACACAAAAAACAAGATTCAGATTATTCTCGGACAAGTTTATATATTAAGAAACCTGACTCGGAAAATTTTAAAATTTACTATAAACACACCAATGAATCGGTCAATCATGAAATAATAGGGTCCCAATCGCCCTCAACATCTATCAAAACAATTAACAACAAAGGTATAAACCAAAACAATAATGTGTCATTAGATACAATAGTAACACAAAAACATGAAGAAAAAGCGTTTGAGTGGTACACGAAATCAGCGGAAAATGGAAATGGAGCAGGACAATGTAATCTTGGTCATTGGTATCAAAATGGAATAGGAACACAAAACGATGAAGAAAAACCGTTTGAGTGGTTATTAAAATCAGCGGAAAATGGAGATGCAACAGGACAAAATTACGTTGGTCATTGGCATCTAAATGGGATAGGAACACAAAAAGGTGAAGAAAAAGCGTTTGAGTGGTTATTAAAATCAGCGGAAAATGGAGATGCAACAGGACAAAATTACGTTGGTCATTGCTATCAAAATGGAATAGGAACACAAAAAGATGAAGAAAAAGCGTTTGAGTGGTACATGAAATCAGCGGAAAATGGAAATGGAACAGGACAATGCAATCTTGGTTATTGCTATCAACATGGAATAGGAACACAAAAAGATGAAGAAAAAGCGTTTGAGTGGTACATGAAATCAGCGGAAAATGATGATGGAGCAGGACAAAATAATCTTGGTCATTACTATCGACATGGAATAGGAACACAAAAAGATGAAGAAAAAGCGTTTGAATGGTACATGAAATCAGCGGAAAATGGAAATGCAACAGGACAAAATAATCTTGGTATTTGCTATCAACATGGAATAGGAACACAAAAAGATGAAGAAAAAGCGTTTGATTGGTTATTGAAATCAGCGGAAAATGGAAATACAAGAGATGCAGATGCAGGAAGACAAAATAATCTTAGTTATTTTTATCAAAATGGAATAGGAACACAAAAAGATGAAGAAAAAGCGTTCGAGTGGTTATTGAAATCAGCAGAGCATGAAAAATTATTTGGTGAATTTAGATCTGTAAATTATTTATATGATCAAGAATACGAGATGTTAAGAAATCCAAATAGATCCTTCATGTATTTTAAAAAATCGGCGGAATCTGGCAAAATTTCAGCTTACAATCATCTTGCAAAATGCTACTTTTATGGAAC